TTCAGTGAAGCACGGTTCTGTGATCAGCAGTAAATCTCCATCCAAAGGCCAGAGGGCGCTCTCGCGCTGAAACTCCAAATACGCCTCGGAGAAGTGACTAAGAACGTGACTAATAAACACACGACTATGACAATACATGGTTTATCTGAGTTCTTATTATTATAATTTTCATTCAAATAAAGTATATTTATAATGCAATGCCTTTATCACTGCTTAAATACTATGAAATATGTTGCGTGCCTTATTCTGTGTAAGAAGCCACATCATCTCACAGAAGGATTTATTTCAAACACTCGACTGACGTTATGAAGTGAGTTTGGAGTAAAAATATGTTATTAAATGTGGTATTTTCACATGCTTTCAGATGGAGCAGCATTTACTTCACAGAGCCGTAGTTCACTGAGAGGCTATGCAAACAGCTGTCATTATCGCAAACGATTTCTTCGATTTCCTAATCGCGCAATAAAATCGTCTGCGATTTTTTTTGCGTAACTTGTCAGTGAACTACGGCTCTGTGTAGTACATTCTGCTCCATCTGAAAGCACGTGATGATGATTTACTGCTGATTACAGAACCGGCTTTACTAACAAAATGCGCACGACAATCACATTCGATTAATCGTGCAGCCCTAGTTTGTATCTTCGTTGTCGTTTGGTTGTGAAAGAGTGTCGCACCAGAGAGAGATATTCTGAGTGTAGTGAATCTGTTGAGTGTTTGTTATTGTAAGATCAAATTCTGAATCTCCTGTTTATCTGAACATTGCCTGTTTTGACTATGATTTGGATTCTGATTCTGCTTTCCGATCCACCGGTTCACATCTAGAGAGTGAGGAAAGGGTCAATTGCATGAGTCTCACGCTGAATGCGTGAGAGTTGGCAGCCCTGCTGAAGTCCAGCTTTTTTGGAGAAGAGGTCTTGATAGTTTTGATTCCCTCTTCAGCTTCAGCTTGTCTGACATGGTGGAGGTGCTGATCAACAGGGTGAGAACAGAGCACACGTCCAATTGGATCATCGTCATTCCACTGCTACACCTTCTCAAAGGCACTTCAGAACCATTTCAGCCAGTGCTTAATCAAGTCAATGCACAATATGAGAAGTGCTGGGTTGGCCTGCAGGGACTCAAATTGGAGTATGTAAAAAATCGAAGGTATGAAATAATCTATGTAATAAACAGTTTCCAAATGTTCTTCTGGGGCCGGTTGCACCAGCTGGACGTGCACCCAGTTGTAAGACTAGGCTGGACGTAAAATGCGCTTTAAGTCGTGTGTAGAATTTATACCCGTTGCACCATCTCGGCGTAGTGCTACGTCTGAGACTAAATCTTACGCCTAGTCAGAGGTAGGTGTAAAGTGAAAAGTCATGATTTACTCTGACATTATTCGTTTTTAGGATTCATGTCTGTTAGTTAATTATTACTGCAGACGTGAACTGTAATGTTTATGGTCTTTTCGGGCAGGATAAGCGATATTAATCGCAAAGCTCGGTGTAGACAGCCTACCACACTGTCGACAGTAATTGAATACAAAATATATTGCTGTACAGCATGTTATAATTATGCAGTAAAATATTGCATATGAACTAGGATTATTAAAAGAAACTCAACCATTTGACATTTTGCTTAGAACGACAATGCTTGGAAATATTTCACGTCTTTATCCATTCAGTATTTGTAGCGTGCCCGCCATCTAATAATCGCAATAAGTTTTGTGCTTTGTTACTTTTAATCAGAAATAAATGATCAGCTTTCAAATTCTGTCAATTTTATCACAAAACACAAACTATAAACGTGTTTTTTCAGCCACAGAAAGACGCCAGCAAACCACAAGTCACGTAAAGTCACAATTACCTCAGGAAAGACATTCACGAGTTCACACTAACATATAATGTGATTAAGCAATTAGTAGCATATTTGGCGTGCTGTCCAGAAATAACTCTAGAGAGAAGCATTGTATTACATTTATTATATTTTACTTAACCTTGATGAAATCTGTCATGGGAATGCAGGGAGACTTCAGATATAAAAACGCGGACTTGTTAGGAAATGTTTACTCAATTAAATCATGGTGCAGTGGCTTCACTTGTTATGATGTCTTGAGCAATTCAGTTCTATAGGCCTATTAGTAGTTAGTTGTAGCCATTGCGGCGTGAACGTCGTCTCCGCTATATCTATAACTGCGGGAGAATGTGTCGGCGTGGATGTGCATTGTCTACGCCGGGCGTAGTTGCGCCTGATCGTAGTTTCAGTTGGTGCAACAAGTGTAAATGTTTATCGTAAAGCTGGACTTTGCAAAGCCCCGCGTAGGGCTTACACCCAGCTTTTTTTTACGTCTAGCTGGTGCAACCGGCCCCTGGGGTTTTAATTTTAAATTTTCTTGTAGCTATCATCAAACCTTTGAACCCACCTTTTCAGTTTAAAGTAACATGAAAAATGTTTTTTTCTGATTTTTGACTTGTCATTGTTTAATCCCTCTATTTTAGGGCAATGTTGGATCTCATGAAGGCACATGCACACTTGGTGGAGGTGGACAGACTGCTGGCGCGGTCTTGGATGTACTTGATGACTTTAGATGAGTTGGTCGAGTGTGACTCCTTCATCCATGCAGAGCTCCTGGACATCCTGCAGCTTTTCACCATGAAATGCCCCAAAGAAATCTCAAACAGCACTTCAACAGTGAGTGTCAAGCTATCAGAAGAAAAAAATCATACATATATTTAAATTGGAACAAATTAAATTACCATGTAATATAACTTAGAAAAATATAGCAGTCTGAACCCTGTATATTTGACTGTTATGTTATCCCAGAGCGTTTTGAAGATTCTGGAACACATTCAGCTTCACTTGCTTGAACAAAGATACAGGTAAAGTTCTTTTACTAAAATCAAAATAATATTTTGTTTATTTGTTGCTTGCCAAAATATTTTAGCCAAACCGTGACCCCCGTGTGAATGAGTATGCATTATGAAATGATAAGCAATTCAGATGATAGCTGTGTTTTTGTCACATAACATGATTAGGTAGACCCAATAAATGAGTCAATGTACGTTCCAATTTTTTTTTTTAGTTAACTCACACCCACACCCAGTGGAGGAGAATAAAAATAAATAAATAAAAAAAACATTTACATTTTGGGCAAAAGAGGTTTCCGCCCAACAGCGATGATATGTAAATCTGTTTTATCATCACTAACAACATAAAGCTACCTATGACCTTGTGTTCCTACCTGACTTTAGCTCAAGTTTCCTATTAAATGTGAATTAGAGGTCGACTGATAATGGATTTTGCCGATACCGATAGCTAGGTTAGACCACAATGGCCGATACCGATTAATTAACTGATTGTTTTAAAATTGATACTGAACAAAAACTAAAATAGTGCTTTATTAACAAAAACAGTACTGAACCATACTAGTAGTAGTAGTAAAAAAAAAATAAAAATAAAATTATAGTAAATGTTGAAATTAACGCACTCTAACAAGGAACAATACTTACACAGCTTTCATTAATCTTAATGCTACAAATGGACTCTTATTTTAAAGTGTTACCATTTCATTTCAACTGTCATGCTTAAAGATGCACATCTTTAAATATATACACAAAGGCTATAGCATTAAAATTATATACATATGGATATTGTATGTATACTCTCAGACTTGAACTGCTTCTATTCTTGAACACTTGATGATTATCTAATCAAAATAAAAGCGCAGCGCTGAGTCAAGGAGAACTCAACGGTATCACACACACTCCGGATGCGTTGCGTTCAACTCGAGCAGTGGTCTAAAACAGTTTATTTAATCACCAAACGGACACAAGTTTACTTCAAGAATGATCAATGAGGCATAGATGAGTTTGATGTTCGGTGTTTAAAAAATGGAGCAAACAGAAAGAGAAAGCACGACCTATATTATAGCTCTATAAATGAAGCACACAGACTTTATTAGAGCCACAGAAAGACAAACGTTTTGCTGAAAATGCACAATACACAATTCATTATGTACATTAACAACGATTCGGGACCAATATAATGTAATTTAAAGGAAAACTATGTGAATGGCGCTCTGTGGCGCGGCAGGATTTTCTGTCGGCTGCATTTAAATCCGCGTCTGAAGTTTCCCGCTCTGTTCAGCGTGCAGTATCACGTGTCTAAACAAATAGCACGTGCTGTCAGTGATTTCAACCACTAGAGTACGCTCTCGCACTGTGTAATGAGTATGATGACAGCAGACCCTTCTCAGCCGCTCCAGCGATGGACGCAACCCAGAAAACTATCGGCATGGATTTTTGTCGATAACCGATAGTTCCAGCAATCAACTATCGGTGCCGATTAATCGGCAAAACCGATACATCAGTCGACCTCTAATGTGAATACTACTTTTAATATAATATCCAGTTTAATATGCCATTTGAAGCAATGCATGTTTGTGCAATTTTGCTATATTTTAGTGTTTAGTGGTATGCCGTGGAATTTTATACCTATTAAAACTGCGCCGTGGTGCAAAAAAAAAAAAAGGGGTTTGGAAGCAATGAGGAAGCAAGGTTTAATATTTAAGAAATATTACAAATGCTCAAAAGAGTGTGAAAGAATGACAAGCAATAATCACTCACCTTTGGATAGAAAAAAAAACATATGTACAATCAGCAGGAGCCAGAAAAGACCTACTACAAGTTACATCTGTGCATTTAGAAGAAGAACAGAAGTGTGCCTCTACCCTTCACCAATCCATACCAGCAGAGTTACGCCAAATATGAATTTTATTAATATTAGCTGCCCAGTAATACAACATGAAATTGGGCAGAGCTAATCACCCATATTTTGTTTCCCTTCGAAATAGCTCCATCTAACAATTAAAAAAGGATCAGAACAAGACAAACACATAAACTTACACATTACAAAACAGCAAAATATGACAAAAACTAGCCCTATGTTGCATGTTTTAATTCATTGAGTGGTGTCCAGTTATCATCTTTTAGGTGAAAACTGTTTTATTGCAATTTTTTCCAATACTGGGTAAAATGGCAAACTCTGGTTGAAGTTACTTCCAGTCAGTGTTAGAATTTAACAAAGGCTTGGGGCAAAGATAAAGATAAAATATAAGTTCAAGTTGATTCCAATATCATCAGGTATACTGTATATGATGAAAAGGCCACTTCCTTTTCATTGGCATGAATATGCAAAAACATTTTCTCAAGAGGGTTTCTAGATGATATGTGCTAAATTTTGTGATATTAAATTATATTAAAATAATATCAGGACCCCTAATACAAAATAAAAAAAAACAATAGCCCTATCAATATGCACTGGTTAACATGCTTTCATTATTGTTGTAGCTGTCTAAATGAGGATTATGGCATTCAGTGCATTCAAGCAGCTTGCAAACTTCTAGAGATGATCTGCAAAAGAGTCAGTCATGCGTTTACTGATATTCCTGTTGCTTGCATGAACCTTGTGGCTGCTGTGTCAGGATTTACCCAGGTATTCCATTCTGAAATCATAATATCTTTGTTTCAAATAATAACTGATTAAAGCCATTAGATGTTCAGACGACAATGACCCAATATGCCTGGCATTTGTTCAACCCAAAGACAACACAACAAACAGACACTTTCTCTGAGAAGACTTGTGAGTTACTCCGTTATGCCAAACAAACTGTCAGAAGATGGATTGGACAAACTTTTCAAGGCAGACTTATAAACACAAGTTATCAAACGGCTGCCAACTTCACTAGAGAGATTGAGGTATGCAGTACAAGTATGTTTATTTAAACTGACCATCATCTATATCTGTATACTTTATTATAATAATTTGGTTTGTTCTGCTTTACAGATGTGGAATAACATTGTATCCATTCAATTCATGAGTAAGGACTTTACTAAAGAATGGAGAGAGACTTTTACACAGGACTTTGAGGGAAAGTATCAAAAGGTATTGATAACAAAATTCCAGAGTATGTCTCAAAATGTTAATAATCAAGTTCCATGACTTTTGGTTCAGTTAACATTGTTTAGTATCTACGTTCCTCTATTCTGTGCCTGGAATACTGCGCTAATGACTCTTTTTAATGAGTCAGGCAAAAAAAAAAACATATATATACGTATATATATATATTAATAATAAAATGACATATAAATATTTATCAGTTTGTATACGCAAGGCTTGTCAGATGTAAATCAATATAATTATTGATATTAAAATATTAATCTTCTCCTGTTTAGTATTATACAGTGACCAGTATTGATTTTGATATTTTCTTTTGCACATTTCAAATGCTGTTTATTTTCAAATGCACTCTATTTAGTATATAGGACTGATTATTAGGGATGGGGTGCTACCTCAAAATTACAAACAGAATCAAACCTTAAATTTGTTAAGAACCTGGAATTGTTATTTGGTTCAAAAGCTAAACAGGAATTGTTAAATTCCCATCCAGGGCTGTAGCTGGGGCCCCCGGTGCATATTGTACCCTATTTGAAATAATGCGTTTAACCCTAAAAAGGGCAAAACCATAAAGAGACATCAGAAAATGTTTTCTTTCAAAACTTGACTCTTGTTTATAAATGCTTGATACAACATGGTTTGGAATACAGACCAAAGGTTGGTCTCTTTGTAAAGAAGACACATAGCAGATTATTGCTGAAGTGAAAGCTTTTAAACTAAGTATTAAAAAATGTTATCGAAGTTTAAGTTTACAGTAAAGATAATGTAGTATACTATTTTATTATTTTAAATAAATATTTTATAAAATGTTGCACTCTAAATTGCTATAAAATCAAAGCCATATGTCTAATCAAGTTATGTTCCAAATTTGAAGCTGATATCACAAAATTGTGCTTCCTGTGAGATTTTGTTTGGACACTATGCCAAAAATAACCACTGGGTGGCACCCAAACTCTATTGATTATTATTTTTTAAAATGCAGTTTTCTGTCACAAATCAATCATTTCGATTACAAAACAGTTACCAAATATGGAACCGTGACTGTCAAACCTTTCCAACAATATGTGTTTTGTCAAGATTACAAGAGATTTGGTTTTCTTGAACAGAAAGCCACAAAATCACAGATTCTAAATATACAGTATGTTTTTATATCTTAATTTATACCCCTAAAAGGGTGATGTATCCCCTGAGATACAAACATTTAGAGACAGATTACGAAAAATGTAAGCATTTAATTCATAAAATTTCAATGTAATCCTAATGCTGAACAACAGCTTTTTAAGCCTTCCAACATGTGTAAATATGAAGTGAAGTGACGTTTGGCGACCCATACTCAGAATTTGTGCTCTGCATTTAACCCATCCAAGTGCACACACACACCAGGAGCAGTGGGCAGTTATATTGCTGCGGCGCCCAGGGAGCAGTGGGGGGTTCAGTGCCTTGCTCAAGGGTCTCACCTCAGTCATGGTATTGAAGGTGGAAGAGAGTACTGGTTATTCACTCCCCCCAACTTACAATCCCTGCCAGACCTGAGACTCGAACCCGCAACTTTTTGGGTTACAAGTCCGACTCTAACCATTAGGCCACGACTGCCCATATGTGAACTAGATCAACTTTTATTGGAGGGTGAGTAAATTTCCCACTAGAGACGGCCATGCAGTTTTAAATGCTTCCTGTGAGCTAAACAAAGAATGTAGAAACAAAGTCACCAATCTAAATATTCAACAATAAATATACAACAAACACCCTTTCAAAATGAAACCAAGAAATAAGACCTACACTTTCACTGATTCTCCCCACAGCTTCTCAAACGTTTGTATCCCTCAGTATATGTCCCACATTTTAGGGTTAAATAGCATAAATAGAACAAATATGCAAAATAGCTTTGCATAGTCTTCTTCACTGTATAAATTAAATATTGTTTAATCCTTAAAGTTATAGAGCAGTGATTTTCTCTCTCTTTTGTCTCGGAATGACATATAGGATACCGATAGCAGCTAGTAAATTAGGAGTGGTCACTGACAGTTTTCGAGGATACTCACCAAGATTTTGGCGTAATTTTGTATGTATTTGTCCATTCAAGCGCAATATGATGCAAAAAAAGAACTCATTGCGGTGTTCGCAGGCTGAGAGATGTAGCTCTCTGTGTGCACGCTGAATTAAGGTCATTTGCAGCATCTTGGGCTTGAATGGTTTTAAATTGCCAAGGCTTAACAACACGTGCAAATGACAAATTTGCAAATGATAAACTTTCAACTTGCAACACGTGTAAATGATAAAACCAACACTGAGGTCCCCTAGAATTGTCACCACCTTTCTCCTCACTAGTGACGGCCCTGTTCCCAACCCTAGTGTCTAGTCTGTTCTAGCTCAGCTCAGTGCATTTCTTTGTTGTTTAATAGAAGTTCATACAAGTGCCATCAAACCACAGGATTTTGCCTTCCAGTACATTTCAAATCTACTGAAATGATTGAGACAAAGCATCTTAAGAGATTTGCATCTGGTTGAACTGAAATAAATGTGACCTGAGACTTCCATTTAACAATGAAACATGTCAGTGAGGGCAGTTGTCCAGGTCAATGTTTGTTGTTCTGTATTTGTAAATATACAAAACAATTTTTTGCTCTTATTAGGAAGATCCTCTGGACCAAATCCAGGTTTATTGCTCAAAGGTTGAGGAACTTAATGTCTCCAAGCCTTTTTTGGTGGGTAGCGTGGAGAAGTGTGCTCTCCAGGCTGTTGCTGCAAAATGTCAGGTAAAGGTCTTTCACTTTGTTCTCACTGACAACATGAGTCATATAGCATTATACACACATACTGTACATTAGAACATTTAATAAAATGAGATTAGGTCCAAAACATAATCCAGTTTAAAGGTTTCTCCTTTTCGTTCTAGCAGAATTTAGTTTGAATTCAGCTTGAACTCTTGCATGGATGTTTTACCAGTCATTAATATCTCAGGTCATTTCTGACAAAAATTGTTCCGCAAATTGTCCAAATAATTTGAGATGTCAAACCTAGGAAACTGCAAATGATATTTAAAATAGCCTTGTAGTTACCAATGTTTACCTTTTTAGTCAGTTAAAGCAAAACATTAAAGGGATAGTTCACCCAAAAATGAAAATTCTGTCATTAATTACTCACTCTCACGTCGTTCCATCATCGGAACAGAAATTAAGATATTTCTGATGAAATCCGAGAGCCTTCTGACCCTCCATAGACAGCAAGGGAACTACCACGATCAATGCACAGAAACGTAGTAAGGACATCGTTAAAATGGTCCATGTGACATCAATGCGATTTCTTGTTTTATCGGTTTTTTGGAAAAAACGAAAAACGAAAATGGTGCTGTTTTCGCATGTTTCTGTTTTCAATTTTAAATAAAAAAACGCATTAACGCAACATACACGGACCTACACGGATTCACCTGTCCCTTAAAATACGGAATTGTCCCGTATTTAAAGGTAAAATGATGCGTCCCGTATCAAATCAATATGGGACACGATTTGTCCCGTATTTTACAAAGGCCAACACATATTTGAATAAACAAATAAGTGTTTTGCACTGTTTAGAATACTGATAGCAATTATAATTATATCACTTTCATAAGAAGTATTAGGGAAGCTCATTTGCACATGATTGCATTTTGGTGTCTTTGTTTCCATAGTGACGGCATCTCCAGAACATGTGCCATTAAAGCCCTTTCACACGAGCGCAGCATGCGCTAAACCTGCGCAGATTTAAATCATCTAGAGCTCACGTCCGCCCTTTGAACACAAGGCTTTCCAGATGTAGGGCTGAATGGGACCGTTATCAATGGGTCTGTCTTGTAACTATTGATGAATGCACAGTTTGCAGAGAAGCATTTCAGTTGCTCACAGTAAACTGTCTGAGGGATAGTTCACCCCTTTTGTCATTTGAAATTTTTGTCATAGTTTACACACTCACAAGTTGTTCCAAACCTGTAATAATTTCTTTCTTCTGTTGAACATAAAAGAAGATACTTTGAAGAATGTGGGTAACCAAACAGTTTCTGGTCCCCCAATGACTCTGATAGTATTTTTTTCTCTACTATAGATGTTACTGAGGACCAGAAGCTCTTTAGTTACGGTCCGTGTACGTTTTGATATTTCATTTCAAATTGAAAAACAAACTAAGCAGAAGCAAGAAAACGGTGTTTTTTTTTTTCATTTGTTCAAAAAAATCGAGAAAAAAAAACAAGATTTTGGTATATATATTTTTTTTTGGTAGAAAACGGATAAACAACTTCAAAATTCGTTCCCCCTTGTGGGCGGTCCTAACACGCCCCTTTCCGCAGATTGGTCAACCAAATCTGAGCCCGTGACGTCATCCTCAGTTCGTTTAGCAAAATAATAGTCCTCTGCTGCTGTACGGGGCCAGTCCTAGATCGGGCTTTCTTCTGTGCAACCTAATGCGTTTCACAGAAATTTTAATCGGCACCCAGCCTATTTTATTTAGCTGTGCGCGTAGTTAAATCTGTATGGTGAAGCTGCGCGCTACCCATAGACAGCGCAGAACGAATGAGAAACACAGATTAAAAAAAAAAAAATAGATGTAGAAGGGTCCCCCAGAATTTTTTTTAGTAAAAAATTATGACAAATCTGTTTAAGCTCACGCAGTTAGAATATGGTACATTTCGTTAATTCATTATTTACAGTCATACATGTGACTGAAGTCTGTTTTTAGGCTGTCAAAATGTAAATGCCTCTACTACAACATCTATAGACCGCTAAGCGCATACTACAATATCTATAGACCGCTAAGTGCATATCACATCGTTTATGCTGCTTGTTTTGTGCTCCTCCGGTGAAGCTAAGCGAAAAAAATGAGTCGGAAAAAGAAAGCTTCTTATGCTACTGACTTTTTTGACAGATAATTTTCTCTTTTTCTATCTTTCTACTATATTTATCCACTCCATGTCGGAGCTTTTGTATTTTACCTACATACATTGGAAACGTGCACTCATTTTTCATTATCACAATTTTTAACATTTTATACATTTACATTTAATCATTTAGCAGACGCTTTTATCCAAAGTGGTTTACAAATGAGTGCTGTGACTGTAATTATAACTGATCATTAATTAATTATTAGTCTGTATTTATGATTATTGCAAAGTCATCCAAATTGGCTCATGGCATCAAAACAAAATATCGAAAATAAATCAAAATGATCGTGCATGACATTCTTTGAAGTATACAGTATGCATACAGTCACACAAACTCATTTGTGAAGTCTCCACCAGGTGGCGCAAAAGGACAACTGGCACCATTACTCAGACTGGAATTTTCACTAGTAAATAAAGATTAAATAATCAAATAAATTGCTACTGAATTTGACCAGTGATGCCCTCCAGTGAGTTTATTTTCTACTTTTTTTTTTTTAGACATTTTAATGTATTTGCCTATAGCAACACATAACAACCCCCAGCCTCTTCAAAAAAAAATAAAAAATAAGTGGGGGACCCCTATAGGATTTACCTCAATTCGAGCACTGTTTTAGACAATACTCTCAGTTTTGGACATGGGATGGTCATTGCAAATAGCCTACTGTAAATGCAAATCGGCTAAGGGTGGATTTATTTTTACTGTACTAATCATTGCCGCGGGAATGTGGCATTTAGCCAGGATTTATGTTATGAGTGTGCACAGCCCTCGAGGCTTAACATGTTGTTAAATAACTAGATAGATAAATAACTAAATTACTGTTATTTAACAGCACAATTTTTTTTACAGTGATATGCATTACTTAGGTAAAATTTACAAACAAAGAGTCAATCAAATTTACTGTTAATCCCCAAGTAAACTTAACTTAAAATGTTCTATTTAAAGCTACTAATAATTATGTTTAGGCTTTTACTTAGCATTGTTTTGTAAATTAACTAGCCTATTCTGAGTGAAAATTGTTTCCAAGCTTTTTTCAAGTAAATCCTACTCCAAAATTTTTTCAGTGTAATTCTAAAGGTTTGTGCCGGTGTGTTCATCCATTCGCCGATTTTTATATAATAGGCCTAACATAAATAATGTAGCCTATAGTTGAGTTGGACAGCAGACAAGTGTCTGCTTCATACAGCACGAGCCGCAGCGCAAGATTGACCGAACCGGCTCCGGCGAACGCGCAGAACTTTTACTTTTTACTAAAGTAATAATGGACCACAAACTGAGCGTTCGTTTTAATGGGGGAAAAGTTTGTTTTAACGCGGATATAATCAGTCTTAGTCATTTTGTTCGTTTAGTTTAGCGAGTTTTAATGAACCAAGAACTAAGCATTCTTTGCCAGTGTTACATCCCAGGACGTATTTCTTATGTTTAATTCCCTGTTTACATCTGTGATGTATGTGGTTACCATTTATTTATTTATTTATTTGTTTGGTGCAATGTGGTTGTACTTTGTTTTCTTTACGGTAGTCAATGCAAAATCGCAAGGAGTTGTCTGACTTGGGAACAAGAAGGCAAGGAGAACGCCATGGACTTTGACTGGGTACAGCAAATCCATGTTGCAACAAGTAATCAACTTCATTTTTCATTAGTTGCCGTTTGTGTGGGTTTACACGGTATGGATGCTGCTTAATGGGTGGACATTCACCAACATCTATGTCATGACTTAAGACAGTGGTTTGGGAAGGAACATTGTGGAACAGTGCCGGATACATCCTGATCAGCTTAACAATACTACCATGCTGATCGTCAGGCAAATAGGAGAGGTACAACTCCAGATTGGATAAGAAAGCAGAGTTTGGCAATCTGCCACAAGAGATCTGAGCAGGGGAAAGGGGAAAATCCATAGTTTCTCATTTATTTGTGTTACAACGCGGGCATAGGTCATATGCCTATGTCTTATTCATTTTGTTAATAACGAATAATGTTAATAATATTTCGGTTAAAAGATTGGGGGAAGATGTAACCTAAAGATCAAACACAATCAAAATAAGAGCTACAGATGCTGGACGTCATCGACATCTTTTCTTGTTAAATGTGCGAGTGTATTTGGATAACACTGGTGTTGTCACAGGTTAATTAATCAGTGGGAAAATTTCCTCACCGGGACATTCTTAATGCTGGCTACATAAGTTACAGTTACATGATAGAGGCCAGCGTCGGCGCCTCAGGGGGGCCTCAGGGGGCCCGGCCCGGCCACCTGTGCCCCCTCACCTCTGGTGCCATCTCCAGAGTGGGCGCTCTGATTTTAGTCTGAGAGGCAGGCTACTGCCCTGGGAAGATCTCCCAGGCTGTTAAATACACGGATTAAAAGCGAAATGTTTTCATTTTGGTTCGTTCTTGGCAAAAATATTTTTTCGTTCAGGTTCCAGAGCGAAATAAGAATGGCAGAGCGTTTAGAAAGAATTCTAATAAACTTTTGCTAATATTCTTGAATCTTCAAACTGCTAACACTTTGCACTTTGCAGTTTCGAATTATGCCTTAGGCCTACTGTATGACCAAAAATGACCGAGTAGGGCCTATGTTTCTGCTGTTTGATCGTGCCGGCGCCTCAGGCGCACACTATGCTATATTCATTGCAAAAAGCGCACTGAGCGCAGCCGTTCACCGTGCCGTTCAGCGTGAGCACCGGTCCAGTGTGGCATATTTTTGCTCATTATGATTTTTCCATAGATACTGGAACGCGCGTGAACTACAAAACCTATTTTACCTAATAAATAGCTTCAAATGCATCGCGTAGGCCTATGGAAACATTTGGATTTGTGCCAAATGAGAGAGGTAGGATATGAGCCCAATTTTACCTTCGGTTTCGCTTTGTTTTGGCTTGTTTATAGCTAAGCCTGTATTATATACTGCAATTATATTTATCCATTAGTATAGATTAGTATAGTATACAGAGAGTCCCAATAAGACGCGATGGGTTAAATAAACTAAATAAGCGGACAAACGCGATTACAGTCAAGCGCAAACCAGTATTGAAATGTACAGGAAATAAGCAGCAGTCATAACCTTTTTTTTTTCTTCTTTTTTTGCTGAGTTTATTTATTGGGTATTAATTAATTAATCACTTGAATTTTTTTTCCTCAGCAGGGAAAATACTCTGTCATTTATAGTCATATGGTAAAATGTATATTTTCATTTGTGTACATTCAAAATGAATACAAAATGTCATGCTTTCGAAAAATAAAGAAAACAACAGAATGCGCTGCTGTAGTCTCCTTGAACATTTTTCTGGCACATGCCACAAACATGAACCAATACACAGCCAATACTTGACGTGCCTACTTTTAAAGGTCTACATTTAGATTATTTGATGTTAAGTGCATTATATAAGTCACTTTGGAATAAACCACAGCATGTATCATGATAAAATAACATGACTTTACAGTCTGGAAATACGGTAGGGTATAGCAAATTATTTCGCGGACCCCCTATCACTTTAAGAACCGCTGGCCTACACAGAATTTTTCTACCCCTGAACCAAAAACGAAAATTTAAGCTGAATTCTCGTTTTTTGTTTTTTGGGAAAAAAACGAAAAAACTAAAAAGGAGCCGTTTTCTCATTTTTCTACTTTCAATATTAAATCAAAAAACGAATGATCGAATGATACACTGATTCGATTGCACATTTGAATTCAATATTTCCTGTGCTGCTATTTTCATTTCATTTGATCTAGTTTCCTAGTTATGCAAGAGTGCTCTTGTCTCATCTGATTGCTGTGACCTTGACCTCTATTAGTCAAAATAAATGACAATATATGCCTCACTCTATTTTCATGAAGCAACATGGTTTCTAACAGAACAGATGCTAACCCTGAGTGAAGAATCCTTTATCCTCAAAAGGAAATATCCTCACTTTGAACCAAGGGTGAGAATGAGCGTTGACAGTTTTGACAAGGCTATATGGTCTCATTATACTGACCTAACATATCTTCTGAGGGGTTCCTCAAAATGGCACTGCTTTCAGAGTCGTCTTATGAGCGAACGTACTCGGTTACTAACGTAACCTCGGTTCCCTGAGATACGGAACTCGTACTGCGTCTGTTTAAGACGCTTGGGGAACCAGTACAATCCCGCCATGCTATGCTAGAGGAACGACTAATACTTGAACTTGCCTTAAGCACCCAAGGGGGCCCAGAGGGACCAAGTATTTTGCAGGGAAGGCCCGCAAAAGGCAGTAGGGCTAAACTCAGAGAGGTCGGCCCAGCCTTGTATCATCGTCCCGAAATAATTCAGTACAACCTCGGAACTCACTGAGGGCCAAGAGTGTACATGGAGGCAAACGCCAAGCACTGGTTGTCATATGACAGAGTGCCCTGCTATGCAGAAAGGACCCGCGCCTTTAAGGCCGGGATGTCCAGACTATAGAATCTGGCAAATGTGGACAGCGAGGCCCAGCCAGCCGCCGCACAAATTTCTGCAATGGACACACCAGGGTATGATTTCATTGAATAAACAAACAAAACATAGTCAAAACGTGGCGCAGGTGTTTTGATATGAAATTATCTCTGAAGGGAACCGCCTGCCCTCAGAAGTTTTGATGGCATTTTCATTTCATCTTGCCTACGTGTAATGTCTGATAATGTAGCGTTAACGAGCACAGTTCTGCTTTTTGTACAGTCGTTACCGGGCAAACAGTTGTTGTTCCGTTCCAAATGTGCCACCTGCTGGCAACCTGCTGGCAATTTGCTATTTTTGTTCAGAACAAATAAAAGGTGCCTTCAATAATCCAAACGATTAACAAAGCAAGATGTGTGTGTGTTTTAAATTAAGATAATAATTTATACTTTTGACTAATCCCTTTTCTTAAAAAATTGTTTAAAGGCTAAAATGTGAGGTTTATTACTATATAAAACGTATATTTTATATAAAACTTTTTTTACAGTCATTTGATGGTACCAGTCATTAATATGTTACCATCATAGACATTGCCCTACCCCACTCATACAGTATTCATTTTATTTGTGCAGGTCTTAAAAAGCCTTACATTTTATTTTTAAAATCCTGCAGATACCCTGTCAATTCTTTCTTTTTACAAATTTTGTAATTTATATCCTGTATGTTGGCTATTTATATTAGGCAATGCAATCCAGACAGGTGGTTTTTAATAGAACAATAACATCTGATTTAAAGTGAAGAACGTGAAGTATGTATGGAAACATGTGTTTTACCACAGTGGTAAAGTGCTGGAAAAGCTTGAAAATGCACCTTGAAAGTGCTTGAAAAGTTTTTAAAAAAATTTTACTTCAAAAGTCCAAAAGAAGTCCAATAAAGCGCATCCATCCATAATAAAAAGTGCCTCACATGGCTCCGGGGGGTAAATAAAGGTGTCCTGTAGCGAATAAATGCATTTTTGTATGAAAAATGTCTATATTTAAAACATTATAAACACTTTTCTCTAACTGCGGCTAACTGTTGTGCGCGGAAGCCGTTCCGGGCAGATGACATAGGACGTATGCGTCGTGAATGCACCGGTGAGAAATGACGAACACGGAAACGCAGAGGACAGAGCAAAACAAAACACCGGTCATGAATTAGAAGTGCAAAACGAGGATTTGTAAAGAAAAATGTCGGAGGATTTCGATATAAGCCAAGAGGAGACTGTTTTTTTAAACAAGTACATTATCGCCTAAAAAAACTCTTAAAACTACATTCCGGTTGAAGCTCTGTTATCACTTGAATATTACACTCTTCTCAGTCAGACTAATTTGTCAACTTGTTTGTTGAAATACATGCTATTTTATTAGCAAATTATTAAATGTAAATTTTAAACATTTTTAATTGTAACAGATATTTAAGCATACAAATATTTTGTAAATCCATGTATTGAACTGGTTACCACTTTTAATTCTCTGATGCAAAGTAAACCACCTTTATGTTATGATAATATAGCATTTGATTCAATTATATAAATAATGCTTATACATAAAACAATAATACATTAGTACAATGCATATTTTTAGTTCTGTCAATTCTGTTAAAATACTATATTTGATGCAGATAATACTTTGGAAATATCAACCCTTGAATATTGCTTTTTTTCAGTTGTGCTTGGAAGATATTCTGAAGTTACATATTATGGAAGAGCACGATGAGGGCTGTGAGACACGCGTTTATTCTTTTGAAGACCTCAGGGAACTTCAGAATAAATTAATGCTAATGTCGGGCAAAGGAGATCAGGGCCAGCGTGAAGTCAATCGATTTACAGAGGTGACTTTACAACTTTTATCTTTTTTATTCCGCTGTCTTTCACCATGGTTGTTGTAATTATACCTGAACTTCTTTCCTGTTTCCAGGTCTTTGCCAGTGTACAGAGGTTGGCCTGTGCATTTATTGATTTGTTTGTTGCTGGAAATCCATTATTCAGACACTGGAAGGCAAAGGTCAACTGTAATAGTAAAGAAGAATGCATCATTATGCACCTCGATTTAGGAAGTGTTGTTAGTGTCATGATTGAAGGTGAAGTCACAGAACAGTTGCCGGAAGTCTGTAAGAAAATGGAGAGCTGCCTATGCTTCTGGAAAGATTTTATGGACAAGCAGAGATCTCAGCATTATTTCCTAAACTATTACACTGCAGAACAGGTAGTCTACCTGTGCCATCAGCTCACCCAGAGCAATGTGGCAACAATGGAAGATCAAGTTCTTATGATGCTCTCCTTTATCAAACCTAATTGCACCACTTCAGATTTGAGACAGGCTTGGCACAGGCTTCAGTATGAAGTAATTAAGAAGGTTCCTGAGCAAAATGATGACTTAGACTTTCAAACTTTCATGGAAGTATCCAGTATGATGGAGAATGTGAGTATTGAGGAGCCATGCCTATTGTTTGATGACTTGACAAGCCAGTTGGGGGATGCTATTGGGTCAAAAAAGCTAGATGTGATTTGGAATGCTTACATGCGGAACATGAACAATTTTCTGCCAGACTCCCTTGATGTCAGAAATCTTGGATATCTACTTAAAATTTTGGCCAACAGCCCCAGCGAACACGAGGGTGATTCCTCACAGGATGAGAGAACACAGTACATTCAGAGAGAACTTCCAAATGGAATGGCTACTCGAAGACCAAATCTAATCATCTGCCCTCCTGAAGAAATTCTGATATCTTGCATTTCAATTTACATGAGCAGCAAGGGTCAGCCTCTACCAACCTATGATGAAGTACTCCTCTGTAGTGCTTTCACTTCTTATGAAGAAGTGGAACTTTTCCTCAGGCGCTGTCTCTCTGCTGGCTACAGGGGAAAGAAGATATACACAATGCTCTATGTGGACCAACTTACCTATGAAGTCAGCTACAAAGTGGAACAATTTTTTCAGCATCAAAGTGCACAGAGCAGAAATGATTACAGACTTGTGTTGGTCTGCAGCTCTAACAGAGAACATGCATACCTTCCTTCAGCTTTTAGTCAATTTAGATTGCACTTGATTCCCCAAGAACCAATTGTCAGTATTCAGCAATACCTTGTTAGGCATTTTACAGTACCAGCTGACATATCCAGTGCTGCTGCTGTATTCAAAGACAGACAGTGTGTGGGAGTTGTATCCTCAGAAAGATCAGGAGTTGGTGAGTATATATTCAAGTAATGGATTTAAATTGGCTAGTTTTCAGAATTTGTGTCCGCTAAATAAATTACCCTATTTGTGATTATAATTATTTTTGCTAAAAGTGTAAGATGCTAAATTACATCTGTGTGGTGCATTCTAGGAAAATCACTTTACATTAAACGAATGTATGAGAATTTGAAGATCACCAAGAAGCCTTCACAGCTGAAGTGCATCAGGTTAATTGAGCCAAGAGTTGATGAAAATGTCATCCTTCAGTCCTTGCTCAACAGCCCCAAGAAAAAGCTTTCAGTCTATCATTTAGATGTCACCACCATGGTAGCTACCTGATTTAGATTTTTTCATTTATTTTTTTTTATTTTATTTGGAAATAGAAAGAAATGTTGATGCTGTTTTCAGTGTTGTTTATATACTTACAGGTAAAGAAAGGACTTCATGAATTTCTGTTCAGGCTGCTGATCCTTGGATACCTTATGGACTCAGAAGGAAACATGTGGAAAAGCAGTAATAAGCACTTGTATGTCATCGAGATACTAAGACCTGGGACATCCCGAAATGATCGAAGAGCTGTAAGTTAACTCATTAAATCACTTAGGTAGAGGTCGACCGGTATGGGTTTTTCACTGGCCGATGCTGATGCCGATATTTAGAAATCAGGGCAGCCGATGGCCGATATATGATGCCGATTTTTTTGTCCGATAAGTTTGGCCGATTTTCTTTTTTTTTTTCCCATTCATCTCATAAAAGTGAGTTTGAGCAAATGATTATTGCAGGGTACAAGATAGTAATGGTGGTAGTAGCCCAATTTAGAGTAATAATAATACATGGCTCAAAACTTAAG